ACCTAAATCCAGAATTCCTCACTCAGACTAAGAGGGACAACTATCTGCTAGCTGACTTGGATATTAAAAATCCTGAGACAGAGTGATCACAAACAGTGCTACTGTCAGGTGAGATGACCCAGACCTGTTGTCACTGGTAGGGGAAAAAGAAAAAAAGAAAAAAAAAAAAGAAAAGAAGGAAAAAAAAAAAAAGCACCAAGATTCCTTAAAATGTTCTGGACAGACAACTTTCAGAGTTACTGATGTACTAGTGTAAGTGAGAAAACATGTCAAGCTGCTTACATTGTCTTAGCAGTTAATGGAATTACAACAACAACAACAAAAAAAATCATCTTCCGATGTTTTACAAAATTCCTTATATTATAAAGCTTTTAGTTTTTTGTCACTGAAGGTTATGCTTCTCCTCATTGTAATGGGCATAATGGGCATATTTCAGCATTTAACATCATGAGAACAACAAATGCTGATTTTAAGGAGTTATTGAAAAGATGGTACTTATAATGTAAGTCAGAATGTTAGATTACACATTCCACCGTGAATCTGCAAAAATGCTCAGTTTCGTTAAAGAAAACAAACTTGCACATAGCTTGCTTCCTTCACACTATTTTTACCTTAAGCAAACAAATGAAATAAAATAGCACGAAGTTCCTTACAATAGAAGCAAACTACTTCAGAGTCCCACAATCCATTAACAGCCATTTATTTTAGAGGTTTAATGTCTGACCAACAAAGCAGTCTAACACTAATGATTTGCCACTAGTCTTTTAGCTAAGTGACAAAGTCAAGAATGCCAAGATATCCAGATGTACTCTCATCTTCCACAGGAAACACATTAAAAAAAAAAAAAGTTTTCTTAATTAGAAAGTTACAGCAATCCCACAGAAATTGCAGATGTAAAGCAGAAAGATCTCTTTGCAAGATCTTTACTATTCAGAATCGAAGCAAAACAGCCATCACAGTGATAATCCCCTTTAGTGCTTCACAGTTTATGCAATAGTCAATTACTAAAGAGGATGAAAGACAGAACAATCTTTGCAAATAGGTCACTGTCTATATTTATAATGATTAAAACCAGCCTGCTACTAAAAGTAACTTTTAATAAGCATAAGAAGTAACATTAAGACAGTTCAGGTATTTTACTCTTAAACATATTCTGTCTCCTACAACAGGAAAGGAAGTAGCGCTCATCAGAAACAAAGTTATTTCACATAGGTTACACATTAGCATTGCTGAAAGGAGATTTTCATGTCTGTCTGGAACAATTTTCTTCCAAAGTATCATCCTCAAAGATCATGCCATGCTCTCTGAACTTACCCAACACTTTTCCCATCTACGTATCTTCTTTCTCAAAATTTGTTACTAGATTTTACCTTTTCTAGACCACTTTTAATGTCTTCCGTTTTTCTTTCAACTTGTCTTCCCTGTTTGTGTAGGCCTAAACACAAATTTTTTTCTTCAAAACAATTACTCAAGTGTCTACTGCATATATACTGGGACTTACCATCTGCTTCTATAAAGTACTGTCCAACTACTGCTACAGAAACCTTCTCTCTCAAAATTATTTTTTCCCTCGCTGGCATTTCTAAGTATTTTCTGCCCTTCCTGTGGGATTAGGACATCACATCAGACACTATTTTCCTAAAATTGTATTGAATTTCATTGATTCTCACAGCTTCAAGCACCACCACCACGACGTCAGTGATTCTTACACCCAGCTGTGCAGTCTCAAACCATTTCATTCAATTCTAATTCCACCTGCAGTTACCATCTTCACCAGAGATTTAAATCTGATTAAATCAGATCTTGTTTCCTCTCAAGCCCTACTTCCTCTAATTACCTCCAGCCTTTCTATAGTTCAAGTCCATAAACTAACCCCTGATTCTTACAATACCTTATGCACTGGAGTTGCACCTAACAGTTGCAATTTCTTTGCAGAAAATATCAAGAATATTAATTACTCAGTCCTGATCTTTCTCTTGATCGGATCATTTGCTTACATCTTGCAAATTCTTCTGCTCACACTGTCACCCCTCCATCCTTCATTTCATATATTTCAGCTCCTTTATGCAGTACTTTGGAGACTCTGGATCTTCCAGTATTTCCACAGCGAGCAAGCCTATGAGCTTGAGACTGTACAGGTGCAGAACCTGTACTTCATTACTGGAAAGGAGGAGGATAATCTTCAGAGAATAATACAACCATCTCTTAAAAGAATCCTACAACAGAAGCATTCCTCTGCACCTCATACACTTGTACTCAGGATACTGAAAACACCCTGAATGATGGGCTAGGGCTGAATACAATCATCTCAACCCCACAAAAAGCCATCTACACAACAGTTTTATTGTCAAGCTCATTCTAGTTTCTAATCTTACAAATTTAAGAGAAAGCACCTGTAGCATAGAGTTTATTATAATGCAGACTGCATAAAACTCAACTCCACAGCAGGCAGGGCAGGGAGAACCACAGTAAGTTTTGTGAAGTGAAATCCTGTTTGTATGTAGAATCTGGGAACTTGACGTTCTTGCTAGAGACTAAGAGCAATAAAAAACAGCTTTCTGAGCCATTAATTTCTGCACAGCTGATTTCTACTAAACAATGCTCATTATTGAGAGAATTCTAAAGAAACGCGAGGCCGTTCCAGTGAGAAGGCTGGCACTCCGAATATCCCGACTGAGCTAACGGTGACATCAGTGCCACTACTGCTTTAATCCCTACAGCCACTAAATGTCAAACTTTTTCACTGTATTTAAAGAGCTTGTGATTGCCCACGATGAAATTAAATCACTTCACGGTTTCAATAGGAGACAACTGCGAGGCAGAACGAGCACCCGCGTTCCTGTCGCCCAAGACTGCGGTAACAGCACGTTCTGCAGGGACTGCGGTCACAAGCAGCCAGGCTTTTCCCACAGTTGGAGTGTAGCATTTTTAGGGTCTAATTTTTAAGCACTGACAACTCCCACCTTCAGACCTGCTATAACACAGCGAAGTCTACGAATACGTGCATAGCTGCCCCACTCAAATCCAAACTTAGAAATAGGCTGTAGTGTCGAGTCAAGTATATTCAGGGAGGTGGGAGGAAGGAGAGAGGTGAAGAGACTAGGGGTCACAGCATCAACACTTGCAAAGTCTGGTGGAAACTGAGCAGCAAGCCATGTATTTCTCAGTGTTTGCCAAAGGACACCCCTGCAACATTAATTTCATCTGCTTTAGAGAAGGAGATGCATCAAAGTATATACAACACAGTAGAAAGAACCATCTTAACAATATAAACTTTAGCATGGTAAACTATATAAAGGAGGATATATTTTCCAAGCATTGCCAAACAAATTATGAGAATACTAAGTAATCAATTACTATGGTAGTAGATAGGCTACTAAACATGCCTCTAAACCAAATATCTAACAACTATTTTATACTTTCAAGTGGCTCGTAACACCTACAGTGAGCTAGAACACTACTGTAAAGGAAGCACAAGAAAACCAATCAACCTTTGCATTGCATAAACAAGAAATTACTTTTTTTTAAAAAAAAAAAATAATTTCCATAAACCTATTTATTCCTTATTTGCGGGGTGGGTCAGTGGGTGAGAGAGGGCAAGGTGGTTAAAATGGTCATAAAAGATATTTCAGAGGCATGATGTCCCATAACTAGATAATCTCTGAATTTATGGAATGAGAGCCAGGAGTAGAGTAGATATTGAAAGACTACTGAGTATTTCAATAAATATGAGCTCATACAGTTCAAGACTACACAAATCACCCAATCAGTCTTGTATCTAAGATATTACCACTCATTAACTAAGCAGCTTTGTCTTAATTGTGCTTTATTAGCAAAGTACTGATTCACAGCTCTTCATGGTAAGATTTTTATTTCTAAAGTTAGCACCATCTTGTATGCGAGCACTACACTTGAACGAGTTCCTCTGGTATTCTGCACACATGCTGATAAGCAGGATTTACTAGAGTGATCAGATTGTACCCAAGCAACAACAGCTTCACATTACAGAGTATGAAAGTGCAAGACTTGGGAGATTTTAACCTTAGAATTTTAAAATATTTTAACATCTTGCTATAGAAAGGGGTTAAAAGGGGAAAGGGGTGGTGAAGAGGTGGAGGAATTATCTATATACACACACATACATAATTATGGGTATGTACATATACCTCACTGGTTCAAGAACAAACCTGGATTATAATAGACCAATTAACTTGGTTGCCCATACCAGAAGTGACCTGATTATCTAAATCAGAGTGCTAATCTTTTGTTGGGAGTGGGGGAGGCCTGTCAGAAAAAAAAAAAAAAATTGAGAGAAACCATTTTACTAAGGAAAAAGGCCATAAATGCTCAGTTTTATCCTGAAGTGGGAGTACCTCATTCCTGAGATTCTTCCATACTAATTAACAAACTCACATGTTTTGAGTTTTAATCCACAGTAAACTTGTGAGAAGCAGAACTGGCAAGGCTGACTCATTACAAGAGCCCGCAAATAAAATGATCAAGCCAGAAATTAAACTCCATGTAAATCTTAAGTGTACCATTTTTAAACTATTAAACCCACTAATGCATCAATTTACAACTCTTATGCTATCTATAAACACACTTAGGAAAAGCTGGCAGTAACTAGCACTATTATTTCAACAAGCCAAAAAGTGAGGATTTAGTGCAGCAGGTTCCCTTCCCCTGGAAGAAAACACAACCCAAATGCAGTGTCATCTCAAAACCACCTCAACAAGGAGCAAACAAAAGTGTCTCCATAACGTCCAATCACAGGGCAACAAAAATGGATTAATCCCCAAAGTATTTCTGCAAGGAAAAGAGCTATACACATCAGCTCTTTAGACTTCAATAACCAGTTCATGTTGAGATGAGACATTTTTACTTAAACCATCTGAATTTATTTGGAATAAATCTCAGAACAGTAAAAAGCAATTATAGCAATAAGGAAACCAAAGAAAAAAATAAAACATCTACAGGGACCTTTTTTTTTTTAAGCTCACCTGCACTTGTTCTGTGGAGCTACTACTGAGTTCATCTCCAGATTCCGAATCTTGGTGAATTTTTTCTGAGCCTTCTCCTGGTGAATCACAAGATTGTTCATGCAAAAAGCTGGTCTTCTCTATTTCCAGGAATTCTGGACATGGGAAATGACCCATGGAGATGGTTCTATACTGATTGGAAACCTTGGGAGATTGCAACTCATTGTTAAGTTTTCCATTGTTTTGGGTAAGGTCCAGACTCAAACCAAGAGTTTGACCAGGGCTATTGTTTGGTCCCAAATTTTGATTGGCATCTCGAACTAAGCAAGACACTTGAACTGGAGAAGATTTTCCAAAACTAGAAAGCTCTGGTGACTTATTCACATTTTCTGTTGATCTCTGTAATCCATGTGTCAACTTCAAAGCATTATTTGGCAGCATGCTTGCCTGCTTAACAGGTGGCATCAATGCTTTTCGTGGTATTTCCTTCACATATTGTGCTGGCACATAGAAGGGTTTGGAATTTTCATCTCTTTTGACTTGCCACCAATCATCATTAGTCTTTTTCACTAAAACGTATTTTTCCCCTTGCTTAATCACAATTTTCTTGTCCTTGGCCTCATACTCATAGTCATACTCCACTTCAATGTACAATTGTCCTGGAAGGATCTTCCCGCCTTTATCAGCCATTTCTGTTTGAAAAGATTTCACCTTTTCAGGCAAAAGGTAAGCCACATTCTGTTTAAGAAGTATTATCTTCCTGTTAATAATCAAAGCTGTAAGAAAGAAAAAAAAAAAAAATTAATAAAATAATTTTTCAAGAGCACTTCAGAGGAAAGTAATTTCAAAAATAACCCTGCTTATTCAATTCATGTCAATCTCAGACTAATTAATTGGTAGAAAAATGTAAGATTTTCAAATATCTTTCTCAGTGATAAACCAGAAAAAACAGCAGAACAACTTAGTCATTGATTTAACTCTCCTATCCACACAGGCCTCCTTCAATCTTGTGGCCTGTTTTTTCTTTTACTAAATAATGTTGATTGATCGGGGGGGGG